TTTATTTTCTCGTCCTTGATTAGCCAGATATTTCATTGTCTTAACCTTATCCAATTTTCTGTGTGTTATAATATTATTAGCAATTGTTTTTTTTGAGTTCCGAGACGAGGGAAAACAAAACTTGTATCCAAATGCAAGTGTTTGTGTGTTTGGTTAAAACCCAAACAAAAGTAACATCCAATTAGAAGTGAAACAAAGATTTACCTTTTCATGTTTCCAGTTTTACCTTTGGCTGGGAATGAAACATTCTCTCTTTGATTCTCTTTTTAATACTCTTACATGGGTAAAGTTTTACCAAACAAAAAAAAACTTAAAGAGCCTTAAGTAAAATCAATACTTATTTCAACCAGTTTTGCATTCCTGATCCAGTTGCCCTTCTTCCTTTCCCAACGAATCCCTTACCATTATTTTTACATCTCACATCCTCAAGACAATTGCCATTATTTGTAAACCTAAAAGTTGCCATAAAAGGTAACCAAAGACCAGCACGAACAAGAGGCAAACACCAAGTTGTACAAGAAACTTTACCTGAAACAAAAAAGTCTTTTGGGTAAACAAATGTTGGCTTGTTACAGGGAATGTTTCAAAAAATGAAAAAGAATGTAAATTGAGAAAAAGTAAACAAAAAATTGTTATTAATGGTAATAATGGCAATTTGATGGAAATGATAATAATGACGATAATCGTGTGTAAATACAGTTTATCATTTTTCAGCTTCTAATTATGTTACATTGCTAGACAGTTGTAATCACAGAATTATAAAGATTACCATTTCAATTCATGTTCATGTTCATGATTAACTTATCGTGAAAGAATGAAAAAGTTTGCAGAGTTTCGAGCAACATGTGAGATTGAAACATTTGAGTTGATTGCGCATCAAAAAAGGCAAAAAACATGCGAGAAAAAAAACAAGTGAATTAAAGTAAATTCAATTTACAATGTGATAACAAGATTAATCAAAGCAAATGTTGATCAACATTATCCATTGTAATCGAGTTAGATTGGCATGGAAATGCTGCCTTTCCAGCCTACTATTTTTTCCTCGGCTATACATTTCAATTTTGATTCTTTATTCATCACATTGAATAACTGAAACATTAGCATGGAATCATGGGTTCTGCTTGAATTAAGATGCAAAAATGAAACTCTGTGTAAACTTCTTTCTGTTTTTACTCTTTTGGTGAACAATAAAAAAAAGTGAAAAAATCGAATAGTTTTTTCTGTATTCATTTGGATGGAAAAGAAAAGAAAATGAAAACTATTATCTTTACTGATACGGATATTATTTCCATTGGAATCATGTTCAACGTCATTTTCATCATTTACTGCTTCATGATGGTGAGAACAAGTTTTTTTCCCAATGATAATTTCATGGCATTATTGTAGTGAAAAAAAAGTACTGGGAGTAAATTTAATAACATGAATCGATTTTTTGTCTCATTTTCTTTTCACAGTTTCCTTTATCTTTTCGTTGTTACATCTTTTTATTATTCAAGCCAGATTTTCATTTTTCTTTGTTTTACTTTGTTCATTTGCTTTTTGATTTTCTTTGAATCTTGAATTTCCGGTTTCTTGACTGGGGAATGACTGGGAGTGAATTTACCAAAGACAGTTTCACCTGATATAATTGGCAGAAATAAGAAACTTTTGATGAAAAGAGAAAATTTGATTTTTGAAAATCTTTATTAGATCCAAATTTCGTCACAAAAGTTCAGAAGAAATGATATTTTCGAGTGAAATGATGAGTAAGGTCATCAAAAAGGGTAGAAAAATTAATAGAGTTTGAAGCATCTTAATTGCGCTCATTCTTCATCCTAACCCAATCATTTTCTTTGCTCCATGAATATAATTCATGAATCTTTTCCAGTGCTTTTCTTCACTTCAACTGTGACTTTATCTCATTTTTTGCACATCATTCTGTTCATTCTTATTTCCTCATCTTTCCTCATCTTCTTGTTCCCAATTTCATTAAATGTCTTCACTTATCTTTTTGCAAATTTGTTCAATTCTGTGCTTCCCATTACATAATAATTTTTATGATCTATGATATTGAAAATAATGAAACAAGAAGCAATTTTATTTGAATCGTGAAAATAAATCTGCAAATTGATTGAATTTCGAAATTGTTGCAGAATTTTTGATGAATAGAAAAATTATCCAATCAATCGTTTCATCTTAAGATCAACATTGAATCTGAATAATTAACTAACCTGTGTCTAAAAATTACTAGACAACTCGATCGAAGCGATTTATTTATCGACCTGATGAAGACTAAGCCTTGAATTTGGTATCAATGGATAGCTTAGGATCAGAGCTTTTCAGAAATATAGCTTAAGCTATGCTCTAAGGCATAATCTACTCACATTTCAAGATTTTGTAGTTAGAGTCTGAAATAAGATTTTGCAAATTTTTTTAACATATTCAATATTATTTTTAATCCCATTAATTAGTTCCTTTGGATTTTGAGTCAGAAATCAATCTGGAATAAGCTCTAGGCTTTATCTAACCAAAATACCTCAATTGGACAGATTTCAGAAGATTTAGCTGTGATCAGAGGACTTTTGAATCGAAAGTCCATTTAGAGCTGTGCTTTTTTTGAAAAAAATGTTGAGCGCGGTGTATGCTGAATTAGCAAATAAGTAATGAAATAATTTTCGGAAATGTGTGAAATTTTTACACAATATCGATCCTAGTGCAATAAGAAATTTCTGCAAGTTTCAACTCTCTATCTTTCTTAGTTCCGGCAAAAACTGAATTATAATGTTGTCCAATAATTTTTAGACACAGGTTATGAAAGCTGGAAAGAGGGGACAAGCATTGAACAAAAAGTTACTTCGAATGAAGATCGTCTGACTCTTATCAAAGCACATAATAAAAGTAAAGGACTCGATATCTGACAAAAAGAACCAAGAAAAGAAAGAAATCATTTAACTGTGTTGTGATGAAATGTAGTTGATGCAAAGAAGTTTCGCTTTTAAATGGTTTGTTATCATGAACTTTGGTAAATCTGTCCCATTTAATCCTCTCGTTTCACTCAAAATGATCAGTGTTCATGCAAAAAGTCTTCAATTTTTAAAATTCTAAATTCGATTGAACAAAGCTATAGCAACCTTCGATTACCATTTTTCAGTTCTGTCCTAACAATTGACAGACCTCGTTCAATCAGCTTCAAAAACTGAAAGACAAGTTCAAGTGATTCAGTTGCCTGAAGGTAAAGTAGCAGAAACTTAGAAAGTAGTTAATGGGAAATATCGAGCTTCAAGTTAATCTACTAAGCCATAACAGCACTTATGAATCAAAGCTGTTCAAAACTGATAAAAATTTCACATTAAATATTCCGCTTTCGTCACAAAATCAAACGGATTATCGGATTTTCAGAAAATATAAGTAAAATGATCGAACAAAAATTGACTTAATCTTCTCAAAGATGCGTTGAGCTAACGAAATTCATAAGAAATCGAGGATAAAGAACACATCAACGTAAAGTTTTCAAACGATTTTCAATTCATGATTGGAGAAAAGATGAAAAATCAATTTAAACAAAGTTACTATTTAGTCAATATTAAGAGATTATCATTGAGGAAAAAGACGAGTGACTTCAAGTCTGAACTAGATTAGGATGATATTGAAAAGAGGTCGATGAATGGTGAGAGCAAAGATAGAAAACGAATGAAAAATGATGTTACTGTCATCAGAAGTAAATAACTCATGAAAAGAGTGTTAATAAGAACAAAATGTTTCATGATAATATTTCCTGAAAACACATCTTGACCATTCTCAATAGATACATCATTTTCATCTCACAAGTCTTTCTTTGACCACCATTATCATGAAACATTTTGTACCTTCGGGCGTTCAACCCATCAAAATCAATACACTTTGACCATTTACTGGAAAATATTGAAAGAGGCAAAACTTGATTCTCAATTATCATTGCTATTATTGTCCTTGCCAAAAGTGAATCATTTTTCAGCGAAAAAAACCAACTTTTGAATCACAATAGAAAAAACTTTGGCACTCTGACTGAGAAATATCATTCTTCTATCAAATGGCTATCAATTTTGGAGTAAAATCTGATTCCATGAGTGAATCGAAAAGAAAACTTTTTTTGATCAACAAACGAAAAACATTTACCTTTTATGATTGTTTTGGAAAATAATTTTCTCTACTTTTTTCTATTGTTGCTCAAATTAAAATGAAAGATGAAAATTGATTCATGAAATAACGATAATTTTCCAGTGGAATTTGAGGTTTTCTCAGTTTGTTCGGTGAACAAATTGAATGAACTGAAAGATTTTCAAGTTAATGTACTTTTATGAAAAGTCTTGAGAAGGTTTATTAAAAGTGTAGTTTCTATTCAACCTGTTTTGATGAGCAACATGAAAGAGCAAAAATTTAATTAAACTTGTAAAGTTGAAAATGGTTTGGTGAAAACGGATTTTCCAAGTTGAACATTTGATGAATGATAAGTAGAAGAAATGCTCTTTTCTACAAATTAATTTCGTGATAATATATTGCCATGTTGAGATGATTATTTTGGGGTTGACATTTTTGTTGAAACACAAGACGATACAATTGATGGTAAAAAATGAAGATTCACTTTGAATTTTCATGTAAAAAAGAAGAAGAAGAAGAAAAGTTTACGTTATCATCATGAGCATCATTTGCATCACTTGGATCATTTGAAAGTCAAAAAGGGATTTTTTTCCTTTTCTTTACATTTTCTTTTCTTTTCTTCAACTCATTTCTTTATCGATTTCACGCTTCCACCATGATAAACTCAATTGATTTTAAAAGCTAATCGTTGACATCATTAAGCATACACCAAACAACACAAAAGTCTAACTTTTCCTCATTCATTGCGTTTTTACATAAACGCAAAGTAGGAAGAAAAAGAAGAAGGAGAAACCTCAAATTGATTAGTAAATGAATAAATTGAAAATTTACATTTTTTCTTTTTCTTTTCTTTATTTTCCTCTATCACTCCCTGTCATTCCCAGGTAAACCAAGGCCTTCATTAACATGGTGGAGAGATGATAATATCATTGATGATTCTTTTGATTACAATGATAAAGATGGTAAGTAAATTTGTTCAAGTTTCTTGTTGGCAAATCAAGTCAAAAACTTGTCCAATGATGATGTCGAGTTTGATGTTTTACTGTGTTCATTAATGCTGTTCAACAGTGATTTATCATTACGACGATAACCATTAATTTTGTTAACCAGCAAAGAAGCAAATTTGTGAATCTGAAAAATGCAAAACAGGCAATTGAGTAAACTAATTTGTTTCAAGCAACAAAATTTGAAACTTTGCTTATCTTCTCATTACATAAATTATGCATTCACTTCAACAATAGTTAATCAAGTTTTATAGTTTCATTCAACATTTCATTTGCTACAACAACATTCACTAATCCAAATAGTTGACAATTTAGTCCCAAAAGAGTTTCAATTTTGTCAACACATTGAGACACCAATGGAGAGAAAAGTCGACAAAATTAGATTCATTTCTTTCTTTCAACGAAATTAAACTTCGCACCAAAATCACAACTCGAAAAAGCAGAGAAATTTCAAATCAAAGAAAATAAATCTTGAAAAGCTTGAAACTCGATATTTACTGTTGAATGTCAAGCTTATAGAAACGAATAGAATCTTTTCCTGAAATTGGAAAAATCTGAAAATTCCAGCAAAATAGCATTTTAGTCGAAAAATTGGAACGAAAAATGTTGTTGCAAACGAAAGCGAAATGAAACCGTCAAAAGTGATGCGAAAGTCTCAAGAGACTCTTTTGTATTTACAATTAACATTGGCCATTAAATGTTCATTCATCATTCTACCGTCATCATCATTTCCATGATTTCCATTGTGTTCATTTTTCCCTGATTCCCAGTCATTGACTGATCATTGGAAACGTTTAAAGCTAATCAAAACCTTTCGCCTTTTCACTCTTTTCTTTCTTTCTCTTCTCTCTTCAACACTGGAATTTTGTATCCAATAAAAGTAACAAGCAATCAATTGATGATAACATCTTTAGCTCGTCACAATTTACTTTCCATCTTCACATGTCAAGCCATAAATAACAATATAACCCTTCCATCAACAACCTCTATTACATTAGATTTGAACAGTAAGTTTTACTTTACAATTTTCTCGATTCTCTTCAAGTTCACCCTTTCCCTCTTTATTCATCTTTTTTCCTCTTTACTTTTTTCTGCTCTCACCTCAAAAATCTCTCACCTTCACCTTTCCATTCTCAGTGCAATTACAATTTCACTCCCAGCCCATCCTTCAATGCTATCATTTTCAACTCCCTTGGACATAAACCTTTTAAACATCCCTTTACCTTTACCGTGTTAACATGTTGCCAACAACGAAAAACCTTCTTAAAGTTATCATTTTTTTCTGTTAATTTTCTTCAATCTTGTTTTCTGCCATTTTTTCGCATTTTTTGCGTTTCTTTTCATCCTTTTTTATCTCTTTTCCTTCCTTCTCAACACACTTTTTTTTGTGCACACAAAATGGACACTTTGCAATGAAACGTTTCTCTTTCTATGAAAGCAAATTTTTCATGAAATCACTATTTGCTTTCTTTCGTTTTCTTAATCTTTCATCAGGCTCTCAGTTTCTCTCAGTTTCCCCATTCCCTTGATCCATTTTTGTTCTAATCTCACTTTTTCTTTCAACCTTTTCCATTCTTTTTTCATCTCTTTACTCCAATTAACTTGATCATCATGATTGTCATTATCCTTTTACTGTCCAGATTAGCTTCTGTCTCAAACTCATATTCAATCTCTTTTCTTTCTTGATACAAACATTGAAACTTGAAATCCTTTCCGTTCAAAGTAGATGAAGGTTTATTTGATAAAAATTAAAAAAGATCAATAGAAAGATGTAAAGCTTTTATCTAAACTTGACTCTAAAATTGAATAAAAAATGAAAGGCAAACATTTCTCAGTCAAGATTGCTTGAATTTTTCAATTATAGATAATCTAATAACATCCAATATCGATGTAAAATTTTGCTGGGAATGATGGTTAAAGTAACCTCCCAAGATTATAATTGCAATAACTTGACTTGAAAATGTTTATAATGGACAAGGTTCATCGAAATGTATTAAAATTTAATTTCTTTTGATAATGAGTTCATTGAATAAACCTTGCTCTGCCCTTGTTCACCTCTGCTACTCTTCACTCCTTTACCACAAACTTTGTGTCCATTTAAATGCAAGTTTGTAAGGTAGACCAATAAAGGAAACTCAACTTATAATTTGATTTGTTTTCAATTCTAGTGAAACCAACAGAAGTCCATATAACTCAATTAACTTCAGTTCTGGTTGCTGATCGTGAAGTATCTTTTGAGTGCAATACTTTTGGATCTCGACCAAAGGCAATTTTATATTGGTTTTTTGATGGTCAAAGATTCAGTACTCCGCTCAACGGTAAGTTTAAAAATTCATTCTCACCCAAACTCGACCAGTCTGAGGCAAAACTTGCTCAATAACATTGAAAACAACATTATTAACACTAAAATTTCTGTTCTTTTGATGTTCAAGCAAGCTAAAACTTTCATCGAGTCTCATTGAGACCGATAAAACTTTTAGAACTCATTGATTTACATTTTAATTCTCTGTTTCAAAATAAATTTTCGACCTTTTTCTATTCACTCTTTATGATAATAATTTTCTTTTCTCTTTTTTTCGTTTTTTCCATTATTGTCTACTTTCCATCAGGTGATCATCAAACCAGTACAACTATTACTTTAACGCTCAAACAAATTCACAACAATGCAATCCTCATCTGTACAGCCGAGAATCCAAAGATTCCAGGATCAACTATAACCGATAACCTTAAATTAGATGTTCACTGTAAGTGAAGTGAATTTCAATTTTTCATTTTTCAATTTCTATTCTTTGTTTACCTTTAATCAATCCAAAATCCAAAAGAGTCCAATCTTTTCTCAGTGAATCCGAAAAATTCGAACTTAAATTCAATTTCAGTAAAGAATCGAACATTGATTTTCAAGAAGTAATACAAACTTTTGCTTTTAAAAAGCTATAATGCAAGTTTATCCGAACATGAAAGAAGCTAAAAATTATAAAGATTCAAGAAAATGCTGATTCTGTGAATCTGAAGAAGCAGCAGAAGCTATCAAGTATCATCTAAAAATGAGCAATTAAGATGAAAGCAAGAACAGAAAAAAGTTTTCTAATTCAAATATTGAAGTGCAATGAAAAGTATTTCAAGGTAAAGTTAACCACTGAAATGAACTATTTGAATGTTTGATGAAAAAAGCATTTCGAAGTAAACTCGAGATTTAATTTTCCAAGACTAACAATCTTCAGTTTATTCATTGGTATTTTCACCTTGAACAATAATCTCAACATTATCATCTTTTGTCCTGTAGTAACCTGGAAATGTTGAGCGAGAAGTTGAAGACGAAATATCAATATTTTGAAGAGTTTCTTTTAAAGTCGAAAAACTCTGAACATCGAATAAGTGAATAAAGAAAAGATAATGAAAGTTTTGTTCAAGTTCGGCCGATCAATAGTAAAGCAAAATTGGCAATGTTTATCGAGACTTGAACGTAATTTGATAACATTTTGATGTCATTATCAAAATTATTTTGCAAATGGTTTGCTCACTCACAATGAGCTAAACCAGAATTATCTTTTGTATTTCTTTTCGCTCATCATTTCTATTAGTTTAATAATAGTATTTCTTCTCCTTTCTTTTCCCTTTTACCACTTCAATTCACTTTTGGTTCAATTGAACATTCATTTTGCCTCCATTATCATCATTATCATCATAATAATAACAAAGATAATGATAATCTTTTTTCTCTTCTCTTTAGTTTTCTTGCCTTTTTTGTCAAAAAAACTTGTTTACTCTTTTTACATTTAATTTCGAGTTTTTCGCAATTTTATTCTGATAATTAGTAACACGATTCTGATGGAAACGATTCAAAGAAAGGCAAAAGGCCATTAGCTTTTTCTTTCCCATTGAATCACGCTATGAAATACTTAACAAAGTGTCGACATTACAATCATTAGAAGAAACAATTTAAACGAGAAAAGTGAAAATCTTTCCCGATAGCATTTGCTTTCTCTAGAAGTCAAAACATCAAGGATTCAAAATTAAACGGTAAACTAAATTAAGTGAATTTCAACAAAAAATATTGAAATTATACGAAACTCAATGTCCACAGTTCGAGTAAAATGAGCTAGGAAAATAAAAGTCATTCCATGATGAAAATCTAAATTAATTGAGTGAGGAATTGAGTAAATCAGAAGAGCTAAACATCAAGATGCAGAAGACCTTAGATCGCTCAGAAAACCAAAATCAAAATAATGAAAGCTGTTCAAGCGAGTTGGATATAAGCTATCGTTCATTTTCGACGGCGTCGAAAAAATCGACGAAATTCCCAAAAATAGAAAACAGAGCTGCAAGAAAGAACAAATTCAAATGCTAAACGTAATCTCCAACTGATTCTCTTCTATTTTCTCAGAGATTCAGTTTTGTTATTTTCTTTGATTTGCAAATTATCAAATTGAACACTGGATATGATTCAATAAAATCTAATTGGAAGCAAAAAGACAGAGTTTGAGTTATGAAAAATAAAAATAGACAAAAATTGACAATCAAGAATCGAATCAAATACTAGAAAGGAATCGATCCGAAAGTAACTTTCACTACAAGAGAAGAGAAAAGGACACAAATTGGCGAAAATTTTCTCATTGGATTTGTTTTTTTCTTCAATTTTCCCAACTTTCTCTCTCATGTAAATCAGATTATTGTTTCGATATTATTTTGCAATTTATACAAGAAAATATAAAGTAAAAGAAGGCAAAAGTTGAAAGCAATTGGATAGTTTGAGAGTAAAATAGCAAAATCTTGAAATTTGAATTTTCCCTTGAATCAAATTTTCTTCTTTTCTCTCTTTTCAAAGCTAAAAAGCACAATAATCAATTGGAATTCTTTATTTGTCCGTGAAACTTGCTCTTTGATAACAAATGATTATCAATGAATAACTCAATACACATAAACCGATAAACTTGAATTTATTTCAACATTTTTTCTGGCAAAACTTCTCTTCACTTCTCCTTCCTTTCCTGAATACATAATGTTGATATGATGGGAATGGGAATAGCTAAAGAAAGAGAAAGCCAAAAATTCATCATCAATAACGTTGAACAATGGGTGAAACGTCTTATGGTGATGACAACTTGGCCTCAGCCAAATCATCAACAATCATGCTTTATCTCTGTCTCATGTTTACTGATTTCACCTGATTCTTTTTAGATTCACTTTGCTTGATAAATAATAAAGTAATGTAAAGAAAAGGAGAAGAGAAGAAAAGAGTAAATTTTTCTCAGTTTCTTTCTTTTTCAATCATTTCTCCAATATTTTCCATTCCCTGTCAAAATCAATCCCAATGTAAACTTCAAGTTCATTGATAAGGAAGCCTCACAGAATACGGTTAAATCGCATTAAAACGATTTGTTTGGTTAAAGTTGAATAATCAAATATTCAATTCGAAAAAACAAACTTTTCTATTCTCAACAAAAGGTGAAAAATTCTGTCAAAATTCATCATCCATTAAACGGGTTAATAATAAGTCTTTTTTGATTAATAAATTTGCAAATGTTGGCTTCAACTTGTATCAACTTTATTCACTCAAGGCAATGTTTTGTTTTATTTTCCAGTTTTACTGAATCGAGTTTATTTGAAAACATTTTTTTTCTACTTTATTAAAACATGAATTTTCCTTGTTATTTCGCCAATTATTATTACTCTTCATCATTTGTGCAAATTGTTCAAATACGATTTGGTTGCCATTGAGAGGAAAAAATTAGTTTGATTGATTGAAGCAAATTGAATTAAAGATCAAGAGCTTTTCATTTTACATCGTTTGTTGAGGCCTTTTCTTAGTAAATTATTATCACACAATTGTTGTCATTATATTAATGCATCTATTTAATGTCAACCTCATAATTTGTTAGCCATTTAAATTTCAAGCCCAAGGTAAATGGCAATGTTAGGAAGCAAATCTCAAGTGTTGACTTTCAATTTGGCAAACTGTTTAACCATTATTATTTCAATCTTCATTTTATTGGACAATTATCTTTTGTTTATAGACATGGTAAAGTGAACAAATTACATCAAAATTTATTTTCCAATATCAATGGTTATTCCAGCAAAGTTTTGAAAATGACTTCTTTAAATCGTGTTCAGCGAACTTTTAGTTCAACTTGATTTTTCCTGATTCACTGAAGAATCGCTCACCAAGTATTTGGTTTCATCTTGATAGCGATATTCAAATATTCGATTTTTTCTTATTCGCTTTATCACCTTTTTCCCCTTTTCCATGCTAATAATATCATTAATTATTCCTGCTTTTTTCACCCAAAAACCCAATCAGATGTACCTCGTCTTTCCCTGAGACTTGGATCACCAACAATCTCACTGACTACACTACAAGAAGGAAATGATATCTACTTTGACTGTGAAATTGATGCTAATCCTCATATCAATCGTCCAATTATCTGGCGCTTTAATAGTGATATTCTTCATTCTCAGCATGGTAAGTATTCCAAGCAAAACAAAAACGAAAAACTCTAATTAAAACAAAATTGAAAGAAAAAAAATGAGTAAACTTGAAAATCGAATGCTAAAAGTGATTGTTGCACCAAAAGAAAAATGTTTTGCAGAAAATTTATCAAAACTTAATATTCCAATCCTAATTATTCGACTAAAGGGAAACTCAAGTCTATTACAAGCATTCTATTATATTTCTTGGACCAAAACAGCTAGTTCTAAGAGCGATTCATGGCACAAAAGAATTCGTTTTCTTTCCTTCTTTCGTTTTAGAAACAAACTTAATTTTTTGCAAACAGATCGATTAAAGTTGAAACTAAACAATAGTATTGAATGGAAGGATGACAGATTTGCATGAATGAAGACTCGAGCCTTTTGAATGAGTTAAATGATGAACCTTTTTGTCTTTTCTCATTCATTTCAGGAGTAATTCAAAGTAACCAAACTCTGGTACTTCAACGTGTTTCTCGTAAACAAAGTGGTACTTATCAATGTGAAGCAGGTAACAATCAAGGTGCTGCACTAAGCAATACAATTAACCTTACCATTAGATATGCTCCATTCTGTCGCAATGAAAACATGTAAGTATTAATTGAGTTTCCCTATTTTTCCCAACAATTACACTTTCCTCTTTCAGCCCATTAATAGGCAAAGTTGATGCACTTTTAAAATTGAACACTTTCTTGTCGAGCTCAAAAAATAAGACGAAAAAAACTTCCCCATTTCATCCAAACATGATCATTATCTGCTCTTTTCTCAACCTTAAATTGCTATCGAAGGAAAAGAAAAGCTTAATAATTCCAATTAACTCGAAAATTTTACCAATTTCCATTTACTCTTCATTTTTCCATCGAAATGTCTTTACTCTGTTGTTAATGACAACTTTTTGTTTTCCCTTTTCAATCGATAATTTTGTTTGAATCAAAACTTTTATGCAACTTGATTTAAGCTGTAAATGTTGGAAAATTTTAAAATGGTTAATGTTGAGAACGCTATTGAGTCACGAGCTTCCAAATTCAATATTGTTCAATTTCCCTGAAACTCTATTTTCTCAGTTGCTTATCAATTTCACGAGATTAAAATTTGCATTTGTATATGAAAATGAACTTTGAATGTGCAATAAAAAGGAGTAAATTAATTCTTTTCGTGCGTTTTTCTTCTTCTTTTTTTGACTTCTTTTTTTCTTCAAATAATTTCCATTGTTCCCATTCCTTTGACTTAAGTCAATTCATGCAAGCAAGAAGCCAAAACTCAGAAGCAGAAAAGTTAATGGCTTCAATAATAATGTCTGGGCAAGAAGAAGAATTCAGATTCTGGTTTAGAAGAAAAAGAAAAATATTTTTATTATGTTTCCAAGTTTTTTCCTTTTCTTCCCTCTTTTCGAGTAACGTTTTAAAATTGCAAGAAAATCCGCTGAGATGAAGAGCAATAATTTGAATTAATCTTTATCACCTGGTTGGAGTTTACAAGATTAAGGTCGAAGAATCCTTTTTTTGTATCTCAGGTAGAAGTAAAATTATTCAGAAAACTTTTGTTTAAACTTAATGGTTGAAGAAAAAGAATTTTTACTTTTTTCTTTCAGAAAAAAAAGTTTCAATGTTGAACTTGGCTTATTGGATAGACAAGTCGAGATGAAGAGATGTAAAGGGAAGAAAAAATTTATCACAATAAATGAATAAAAGTACATTAGAAAAGTTGAAAATAATGTTTTTTCCCTTTTTTCTTCTTCTTCTTTTCTCTTCTTTTTACAACAATTTACATTATTCTTGAATTTTGTGGCTCACCAGATAATTTGACTTGAAATGCTGAAGAGTAAAGGCATTTTCACTGTTCTGTTAACAGGCAAATTGTGTCTTCATTTGTTGAGGCCATTTTCTCTATTCGTTTTTACTTTGCTTTTCGTTGAAACGTTGTACAATCATTGCAAGTAATATTCAGAGACACTTTATTTTTCAGGCTTTTTGTCACAATGAGTAATGTTACAGACTATGTAATCATCAAATTTGAGTTGAATTTACTTTTTCTACTTTCTTTTCTCAACTATTCTTTGGTACCATTTGCATTTGTAAGCTGAAAAACTTGTTAGAAATGAAAAGTTTGAAAATCATTTCAATCTTGACAATTTACAATACCAATGAATTTTACTGTTCCAACAAAATCGAACATTTGAGTAGAAATGGAAATTCGTGGAAAACATTTACTCCGTTAATGAATAAGAAAATTGCCGAAGATTGATTTCAACAATATTTCTACTGCAATATTCAGTGCTGGTTCTAAAATATAAAGTATGTTTCGATCAAGTTTGCAGCCAAGAGATTTCCAAGAATAAGAAAAATTTATTTGAAAATAACTTTGGAAAAATAACTTTATTGAACATTGTCTTTGGAAACTCAGTTAGTGTTAGCGAATTCCCGAGTTTCATTAGGGTTTCTTGATCTTTAGTTTTGCTAATTTTGCCGTAATTTCTTTTCCAAGCAAATCGTCAATATTTTCATATCGAAAGCTTTTGATGATACGGTCTCTCACGTTCAATCAATCCATTCAATTATTCACAGTTTCAGTTGAGTAGCTTAACCTTGTTGTTTCATTATTTAATCATTCAATTAAACGTTGATTGTTGAGGGAAGCAGAAAAGAAGGCAATTTTAAAGCCTTTTATGGCAACTCATTTTTGATACTCAATGTAATCCAAGACACAAAAAGGTTGACTTAAAATGGTAATCAATCAAGCCATGTCACTCCATGTCGACCTTTTTCAAGGAGTAAAAAGTTTAATTAATACCAAGACATTACTTAGTCCATCAATTAATTTCTCAACTAATATGATCTTTCATCAAAATATCTTGACAATGACTTTTCATTGAGCTTCTCAACCAATGCTGAACCAAAACAACAATTGAATAGTTCAATTTTCACGATAATTTCAGGCTTTTACTCGACACTTAATTGACATTTGATATCAAGCCATTCAGATGGATTCAGATTTTGAGGTGAAAACAAATGACAGTTGAAATGGGTCAATAGTTTAGCTCTTTAATCAGTTGACAAAATTAGCGGTTACATCAAGCGGTATCAAGCGTTTGTTGATGGATAAAAGTTGATCCGGTAAATGATGGTTTTGGGCAATTTTCAAAGTCAACTGAGACTATTCACCTAAAAAAATAGTGTTGATGAGTTGAAATTAAAGTTGCTCTAAAGGTTGTTAAGAAAGTGAAAAAAAAAGTGAAATTTTCATCATGAAAAGATCCAGGAAAGAGTGAAAAGAAGAGTAAAAGAAGAAAGATGATTTACGAATGAAAAATATTGTTTCATAACCAACAACACAAGTAGCTAAAGAAGGATTTCCTGTGAAGTCATGAGAAAAGAGGAAAGATTAATGGTGAAATGACATCTTTGATGATGATGATGATGATGGTAATGATGATTTTATCCAATGGTAATAATAAGAGTGAAAAAAGCGACTGAGGATAAAGTGATGTGCTTTTAAACTCCATCAGCTAATAAAAAGCATGAAAGATTATCATTAGTCAACAAAAGCCTATCTAATTATGAGAGGAAATATGATCGAGTCAATTAGTTTGTCAATAGTTTTGGCACCAAATAAATTGTTGCCATTACTTTTCCTAATCAATCAGTTAAAATTCAATTGATTCTCATTCAATTATAATCTGAAACATGATATTCCTCGCTTCATTCATTTGTAACAACAGCATCTTCAAATGAAACTGAACCTTGCCAAGATCAACTATTTCTTGGGATTGCTAAACAGTTTGAGTTTATATTTTATGTTTAGTTTGGGGAAAACAAACACTTCGACCTTTGATATCGAAGTCGCTTCGGCTGCGTCAACCAGCTTCAACGGATCAACAGTTCCTCTGTTGTAGGTTCTTCAAACCGAACGTACACTAGTAACGAAAGGTGATCATTGCGATTATGAGAAAGTCTTTGCGCTTGAAAGAGTCGAGAGGTAACAGTCTTTGGTAAGTGATTTGACCGCATTCATCGATCTGGAGAAGGAGTGAATTTTGAACATTTCTTGTAACATTTAATGTCTCATTATTCAATTTTGAGTATCATTGGAATACATTTACTTGTTTCTCTGTGATTTTTCATTTGCCATCCACTTTTTAAGCTTACGATTTTCTACTTTGCTCTTTCTTTTGGTGGAAAAAGACGAAAAAAGATGTTTAGCCTCAAGGAATTTTGATAACATTTCGATATTTTTGGTTGACTTGGTGGTCAATATGTTATTACAATACGTGTGAGTCAAAGTCTGGCAAGAATGTGGGTTGTTCAGGGAAAAGGAAGAAAAAGATGAGAGCAAATGGCATTTTATGAAGCTTGATGTTATTGGATAAAAAAGAGTGGATGATGAGGAGAAAAGAGGAAAACAAGGTGCAAGGATTGTGTAAGATGAGGTAAGATGATGAAGATGTTGAGAAGAGTGGAAAAATGTTGACCATCATGAATGGAGAGAGAAAGTGGAAAGAGAATGAAAATGTCTCTACATGAAGAAAAGAGGTGAAAAATGTTGAAGTATCATTCATCAAAATTATTGCCTTAGGGATGCACCAGAATATAAACTATAATGGTAAATGTGCAAAAAGGCAAAATATGAGTTATTATTGAATAGTTGTTTCGTTACGATTGAACAACTTGATTCAGATATAAATGTAATATTTGAATGAATCTGCTTTTTTTGCTCTTCGGCAACATTTTTTTTTCTTTCCAACTCAACTAAATTAACCTTTTTTTCATTAGTTTTTAAAGTGCTCGAGTGGAAACAAAGAGATACAAAGTACAATGTTTACAAATGGCTATTGAAATGATTGAATTTCTTCATCAGGGAAAAGTTTAAACAAAAGGTTGATCCTGTCAAGTGCTGAGTTGATTCATTTTTGCCAATTGCCAAGTGAAATGATTGAGACACTTTGACTTGTGCTCGAGGCTGTAAAGTGAATTTGAAAGTTTTGTTAAACTGATGGCTTTTTTGGACGGCAAAACATTTCATTCATTTGAATGAATAAATCATCAGATTCAACTTTTAGTCTCTTATGCAATTCCTGTGAGTTGAACATTCATCTTCTTCAACGAAAAGGTAAACTCGATAATGACATAAAATGTAAGCTAAGTAAATAAAAAGCTAAATTCGTTAAATAGAAGCTAGAAGCAGAATCTTTTTAGACATTTTGTCCATTTTTTCGTCTAACGAAATTAAGGACTTGAACAGCTTTCCAAGTTTTTTCGGACTTTTCGATTTTCGATGCTTTGATTGCAAGGTTGTTCAGTCGGACCAAGCGAGCTTAATATTGGATCAAAGTTTTTGGCGTTATTTGTTGGTTAAGAATGTCATTTTACATTTGATGTAAAAATTTTAAGTGAAAACATGGAATGGCAAGAGGAGTTGAAACTTGTAACACTTGATGTTATTCCAATTTTATATCCTCGGTTCATTGAATAATCATGTGAAGTGGAATTTAATTTTCAATTCAAATTTTGCTCGACTCCCTGTTTGACCATATAAAAATGGATGAAACTTTGCAAAGTGTTTAAAGTGGAAAAGCAAACAACAAAAAGGCTCACACCATTATCCATGTTAGCCACATTTATCCAAAGCTAAAGGAATAAAAAAGTGCAACAAGAAATAAGATGATTCAATCAATTTGCCGATACACTTATGGATGAGCGTAAAAAGCAAAAGAAAAATGGAGAAAAGTTTGGCAAAAAGATGATCAAGAAAAGAAACAGAAACAATTCAATCATGAATTGAGCTCATTCAGTATGAAAAATGCAAAATTGAAAAAGTATTTCAAGCAGCTATCATTGCACATTGATCATAAATATTTTTAAAAGCAGGCAAATGATTGAGAAAATGAACATTTCGATGCTACACAGCTTTTTTTACCATCGCTAAAAAGCCGTTGATTTACACAAAAATGTATCTAAATTCATATATTGACTACACTTTGTAAGTTAGTCTAATAATCGAACAAATGAGTGAAACTAAATTAAACACAATTCAAAACTCTTCTAAACTAAACATGATAGACTTAAAATTCTGGCTTCTTGGCTTCATCTACACAGCTAGAAGTTCAAATATACAACTTAAGGATGATTCAGTTTTAAACATTTAAAGCTAATCAGTATTTGGTTCCACAGCGATCCAACTCAATGCAAGTATTACAAGTTGAACGTTTTAACGGCTTCACTGCATGACATAAGCAATGAAGCCTCAGACAATCGCATCCACACACATTTAAGCACATTTCCATCATGCTTATTTCAGAAGATATTGCCTGATCTTAGGAAGATCTTTCAACTTTAGAATGAGATTGAACACGACACGAACAAAACTTTTGATACGAACTGTTTTGAAGAGTTCGTCTTCGATTTTTGGAGGAATCGTTTTCTGTGGCATTTGCTTCTTTGAATGTTTTTAGTTTCAGTTTGCTCTCACGTGCTTATGCCACGATTTTAAAGTATCTGTGTGGCGAAAAAGTGCCATCAATTGAATTTTATGGAAAAATTTATTGGAAAATTTCTGGCAAGTGTCAAGTTTTCCACCTCATTATCATGATTGCTTGATTAAACTAATCGTTTTAAATGTTGCCTTTTCCTTTTTGTTTATCTTTCTCATAAGCCATCTTGTCAGCCCATTTGAAGCCATGAAGATGTTGTTCTCATTCAATCTTACCATGAACTTTATCCAAAACACTTTATCCTTGTGTTTACTTCTTGGATTGATAGTAAAGATAAACTATTTAACCTTTCCAACTTTCACTTTACCATTTCTTTACCGACGAAAAAGGGACGAAAAGAAGATGAATAAAGACTGCAAAAGTTGTAAGCACATTAAACTGAACATTTGATGGAAAATCAAATTTCACCACTTTTCATTCTCAGGTTGAAAAAGAAGAGAAAAAATGATGAATAGATACTTGCAGGGAATGAGTGTTGAAATGTGTGAAAAGCTATTGTCACCAGAAAAGAAAAGAAAAATTGGAAAAAAGAAGAAAAAGTTTACTTTTCAATCCATGATCATGATCGTCTTTTGCATCCTAAAACCCAGATCAAAGCTTTTCAAAGACAAACAAAAAAGTCTTTTGAAACATTATCAACAATCAATTCCATATTTTCCATTTCATGATGAATCATTTTTGCCATCAAAACGAAAGTCCGAAAATGAAATTATTTCACAAAATTTGTTGACCAAAAAAGTTTTAATTTCAATTCGACGAAAAAAAGAAAAAACTATTTTCGTTTCTCATCGAGTTAAATGCAATTTTACAACCAATTGACGGTTGATTACAATTTCATTGATAAAGGAATTTTCTGATTGAAAGAAAAGACCTTTTCTTGCAGAATCTTTCAATAAATTTCAAAATCGAAGTCGAACAAAAAAGAAAAGCAAAAATGCATTAACTTTGCCTTTGATTTGGCTGTTATTATATTTTCCACTCCCTGTCCTCTTCCATTTGCTGTAATCATCATGAAAAATTTTGATCGACTTTTCCTTCCATTCCATGGCCACCATTAATCTTTGAATTCAACATTTTTCTTTCCTTTCCTTTCATCATCTTTTTACCATTGTAAACATATTTTATCCTCAACTTTGGAACAAAAAATTGGACGAAAAAAAACTTCTTTTGCATCTCATCCTTATAGTTTAGTTTATGGAGTAGCTCTTCATGAGACAATTCATCTTGAATGTGATGTCGATGCAAATCCATCTCGAGTTTCCTTCCAATGGAAACATCAATACAATTCCGAGTTGCTCCAGTTTAACCAAGTTAATGACACAAGGTAATGTAACATTTGTTTTGTTGTTGTTGTTGATGATAATTGTGAAGAGAAAGTAAATGGAAGAAAAGTAAAAGTGTAAAACTTAATAGGAAAAAATAGTAATGAAATAATAGAAGGAAAAATCTTTCAAAATGATCATCATCATCATATTAGTTGTTATTTAACAATATTACTCTCATTTTGCTTTCGCTTACTTTACTTTCTCTGTTTACTATTGAATTAACTTTATTCATAGTTAAACTCATTATAATCAACTCAACAATCATTTAACCTTTCCTTCCCAACCTCTCATCATCCATCCACCTTTTATACCATCAACTCCGCCTTCTTGGAGTAACTTTGATTTTTCACCAACAATTTACTCTCATTTTCATACAACTCTCTCCATTATCCTTCAATCTTGTGCTCATCATCATTATCATCATTATCTCATTGATTTTACTCTTTGCCATCTTGCTCTTCCATCGAAAACTGTTATGCAGATCAACTTTAAGCTTTTCACCCCATGAGCCTAATGATTATGGAAAGATTGACTGTATTGCCAAAAATGAAGTAGGACTTCAACAGAGAGCTTGTACATTTCATATAACCTCATCAGGTAAGCCTTCAAATTGTAAACCCAGGAAAACCTTGTTACGAAAACTTTCGAGACAAAAGTTTTTCATTAGTCCATCTCATTAATCAACTCTTGGTGCAAATCATAATTGAATAATCTCAAGTTCGGTGAACAAGTTAATTGCAAAATTTTGATTAAAATTCAAATTTTATTAAACTCTATCCACAGTTAAAAACGTTTTACTTCAAAGGTCAAGTTTAATCAGACTTACAAGGCGAAGTGCCTAAGTAATACTTTTTAGGCAAGTCTTGATGAATTGATAGAAATGAGTAACGAAAACATTTCTGGTAAAATTTTCAGATCTCCAGATTTTCGATTCAATTTTTATTCAAGTTCAATCAGATCTGTGGTGATGAACTGAACGTATAAAAAACAAATTTTTCAGCTTCACAAGAGACAATTTCATGTTCAAAGTAGAGTTCAATCAAAACGCTTCCCAATGAAATGTTTCTAAATAGATTTTTACGTTTTTAAACAAATGAAGCTATTAAATACACTTTTTAAATGGTCTTAAAGGGACGGCAGAAACTCCGTTCATCCAATTTCGACTGCTTTATTGAGTTTCTTATGAATATATTATTATAATAACTATTGTATATTTTTTTGTTCAATGATAGTTCTGTCTCGATTCTGTCCATACACTTAGCAACTTTTCTTGTTAGATATTTATCAAGTTTTGATTTTGAAATGTGAATGTTTCAATTTTTCAGGTTCGACTTTTGCTGAGAAAAGGTCGCATGCAAAGTGAGTTTCTTTGTACAAGATTTGATGAATTGAAAGTGTAAACGAAAATTTAATCTGATTAATGTTCAACTTTGAAAGAAATTTTCCTTTGAAAGAGAAAGAGAGAAAAGTATCGAAATGATTCGATGAACCATTTTTCATTATCTCAATCATTTCACTTCTTTTCATTTCCTTGTTGTTTCATTTTTTCTTCCCTTCCTTTCCTCTAACTCTTATCCTGTCACCTTAACATCAACTCTGTTTCTTTGAGCATCATCATGATCATTATGTACTCGAAAGACTGGAGACCTGAAAAAGGGTCAAAAAATGAGCAACAAACAAGCAGAAAAAGCTTGGACATGGAACTTGGAAAGAAGAAGCATAAAAAGAAGGAAAAGAAACAAAAGTCTTTATTACAAGAAAATATCATAACCTGGCCATCCTTCACCTCCAACTCTTCATCTTATCCTGTTTTTTCATCCTTCTTATTCTCATCCCTCTTCTCTCCCCAGTAATCATGTTTGAATCATATCTTGTTATTTTACTTTTAGTCTTAATTTTTCACTCCCAGTTGTTCTGATTCCTTTTCCACTTTTTGTTTTCACTTTTTCTTCTTCTTTCCATCTTCACCATTTCCCAATCCTCTCTATCATCATCATCATTTTTTCCAAGACGATCCTAACTGTTAAATATCCTTTAAGCCTCAACAATAACTTGCCTGTTTTCCTTGAGCTTATACAATGTTCAACAATAATCAAGGTTAAATGGAAATATAATCGAAGCTCATGTTATTACTTTTCCCTCTTTTTTCTCGTCTTTTATTGTTATTCTGACACTTTCACCTTTCTCTTTAGCTCCTTAAATTGAGGTTATCATCTCTCAAGTAATCATCCAGCAAAAGTTTTGACCTTAACAGTTGATAGATATTTGTTGTTCATTCAACACTGTCAACTGGAAATGCTGAGTAAATGATCATCCATTTTGGATAAACTTTTTTCTTCGCCAAATCAATTTATCATATTGTTGGGTGAAAACAAACAGTTGAATGGTTTAATGCAAAATTGAATGAATAACGAAAAATTGTGTAAGGTCTCTTCAGGGATGAGGAATAGAGACTTACAACTGAGATCAGTTTCTCAATAACTTTAAGTATAATCAACGTTGTTAATCAATTTGAGGTTAAATTATTTTATTTCAGTTGAGGTGTCTAAGTCACCAGTAAATCAAACTTTAACACAAGAGCACAGGTAATAAGTAATTAGACTTATTTTTAAGTAAATTAAGTTGATTATGATGAGCACAGTATTGAGAGAATACCCTCTTCAATCAATTAACAATTTGTTGATCACAGTTTTAAAGAGAGAGAGAGAGAAAAACATAATCTAATCTGTTGGTCAAATTGACCAGTATTTATATTAAGTAAAGAGGAAAAGGAAGAAAAGCTAAACATGTGATATTAAACTAATGGGGGTTGACATTGAATTACAAACTGTAAATTAAGAGAGGCAAAAAGTAGTGTCGATCCCTTACAGATGCCCCCACTAAGTCGCAATCGGTCCTTCATTAGGTTCGAGGGCGGCAAAGGTAACGAAATTTTGCCTCATTAAACTTATAAGGGATTGGACGGTCATGGTTTGGTATTGGTTCGACGAAATTGGTTTCATCATAAGATCTATTATTCAGTTTTTCTTGTCTTCGAGTTTTTGACATGTAATGTTTCAAAGCAACATCATTTTTCAAAGGGTTTGGCCAATCATCAATGTAATTCATAATGTCATTAATAAGTCCAGACATGTAATGATTTTTTGGATAAACATAACCTTGGTAGAGTCCGTGGATTCTTACTGGTTGTGTGCTGAGCCATTTGATTCTAGTTTGTTCAATTCTTTGGTAGTCGATCAAATATAAATACATTGTATAAGCAGCATCAACCAATGAAGAGTGTTCTCTGGATTGAGTGATCTTACCAAAAAGCGTAAATATACAATATTTCAATCCTAATTGTGGTGAATTAGATCTACAATTATAATAACTCGAGATACAAATGATTCTTGGAAGTAGATAATCATGATCATTTGGATTTATGAATAGGTTTTTGAAGTCCTGAGCTTGACCTGACACAATAATTCGCTTATATTTCCTCAATATCGTGATGATTCGTTTACGGACATGGTAAAATGTTGGTGCATATTTTAACTGAACCCATGTAATGTTATGATGTTCAGTCATAAAGTCTTCAATTGCTGATTTTGGATGTTTAATGAATTCATTAAATATGATTTCTCCTGATGAATCAACGATAGAAATCCAACATGGAACTTGTATTTTGGACGTTTGATTGGAAGAAGTTTTTACTCTCAGTGTTAAGTTTTCAATATCAATTGAACAAGCATTTAAACTATCTTGGTGAAGCTGGACATTATTTTTCGCTATTAACCAAGCAAAGTGTTGTGGAGGTTTGATCATCTCTAGCTGTTTAACACAAAATTCAGCTTTAATCGAATCGTAAGCAACATCACGTCTTATTCTGGTTTTCTTATTTCGTTCAACTGAGTGTCTTCTTTGGTAATCATGAAACTTTCTTTTTAAAAGATCACTGTATTCCATTGATTGTTTAGTTTTTGGACCACTTTTGCTATCTGGTTGATAAGCATCGAGATTTGTGGACAAAACATCATCAATGTCTTCAATTTCAATATCTGTAATTGCAGGTTTACTTATAACTGATTTAACTTGAATTTGATTTGGTTCATGATTAATTGGGTGAGTGATGGAGCTTTTCGTTTGTTTTTCATTAACATCATTATTATTCATGATTGGTTTATTCCAATCGCCCCAATCAACAATGGAATAACATTCTGAAGCAACTGAACTCGATTCTCTCACTCGTTTACTTGGACGGTCGTTGTTGATACATTTGTTTGTATTTGTTGATGGGTATGAATAAGAAGGTCGTTTAACTTGTTGATTATTAATTTGCTTAGCAGAATTGGCTCTTTTTTCATCGATTTGCTTTTGAAGGCCTTCGATTCTTTCCTTTTGTTGAATTAAGTTTTTATGTTGTCTTTCAAATGAACTTATGAAGGTTTGCTTATATACATCTTGAGCCGTTTGATTACAATGGTTTTCATCTTCAGTTGTTATTGTTGATAAAAACTTTACCATCAAGTCATCTTGCTTGAGTATTGGGTCCATAATGTTGATGAAAGTGTCAGCAATGTACGATTGATCAAATTTGAAGACATTTGATTGCAGTTTACAGTTACTAATGTGGTCAATCATTAATGAATAAAATCTCTTTTCTTTACAGTTATTGTAGATACAATTAACTGTTATTATTTCTGAGTCAAATTCACGATCTGATGATACTCTTTTCAAGATTTGTTGACTGTTACAATTATGACTTATACAATTGAATGCTAAATTTTCCAAATAGCTATCATTGATTCCCAGTATTGATTCATTTTTAGTTATTTTGTTGACAATTACCATGAAATGTGAACATAATTTGCAATAAAGTCGATCACAATTGTAACATTTATAAGGTTCAACAGCTAATTGGTCGCAAAGATTGCACAAATTTTTGGTTATACCGAGTCCAGGATCGTTATCAATGGTAAAACCAGGCTTAAGCTTAACAATATTGAATGCTGAAAAGATGCTTTCGACTGCTGTGTTTTTGAACTTTCTTTTGTACTTGTCTTCGATGAATTGGTAGAATTGTTTAACATCATAGACTTTTGTTATTGCTAAAGATGACGATGAAGATGACATTTCAATCTATTATGAGATTAATGGTAATTGCTTAAGATGAAAAGATGATGATTGCTTTCAGTAAAAACCTTGTCTTTGACCAATTTTCCTTCAATCTTATCACTGTTGATATTTGATTCAAAACTTAATGCTAATCCAATATCAAAAGAATCCACCAATTTGGTTGTTAGACTTTGAACCTGAATCAAGTCAAATGAATGGATCAAACCTCTTCAGTTAGAGAGTACTTTATGGTCGAGATTAGATGTGATTACTGAATAACATGTAAAGGTGATGAAATGAAGAAAGTTGACCATCAGATTGAGAGCATACGCTCGTCAATTAGCAACGATACAGCAATTATTGAAGGTGCTGGATGAATGACCAGAAGAAGAGTAGTTTGTTTAATGTTGAGATTGACGGTTTAATGATGATTTGATGTACAAGCAGCTCAATTGATTGATGTTTGTTGGTTAGATGTGAGCACAATTTTCACTTATTGTTGA